GTTTTGAGTGTCTTCATTGAAAGGCGTACCAAAAGAGTACATAGACCTTGTGAATGCTTTTATTCAAACACAGTTGATCGAGTCAGAGTCAATCTCCATTTTTATTTGGTTTTATCATTGATATCCTGGAATAATATTTTTCTCAATTGACTTCCAGGGGTCGATCTCCTGCCAGGATGTTCGGCTGATGATTTGAAATACGCAAATGGCATAGTTTTTTTTTTGATGAAGAAGCTGACAAAATCCAGTTTTCTAATTGACTTGGGAAACAACGTTAGCATGTAAGGGATGTGTTTCCCATACTGAACCCAATGTTGTTATGACTCAGAATAGTTTGTGAACGCTCAGACACATGTATTCTTCTTTTGTTATCTTACCTCGTGTCCCGATAAATCCTAACATGTTGTTCCCTCCATATTTAACTTCGTCTAGCGCTTCTGATCTATGTAATGCCACCATCATTCTGATATTTATCCTTACATGTTTTTTCTCACTGTGTTCATATAACGTGGCTAATAGGATCAATGCATACATGTTGTGCTCTCCGTTACATTTAAATGACTGACAAAATGTCATGTGGTTGTTTTATCTGTATTTTACTTTTTTGCAGCCCGTCTACGTGAATCTGTTGCGGACTTCTCAGAACTGAAAGATAAGTTGTCGAGAACGTCTTCAAGTATGGAGGACTATCGAAGACGATATAGGGATGAACGAGACAAAGTTGACTCTCTAGCTCGTGTTTTGGAACAACAGGCATCTGTTCTTGATGCCTGTCGATCGGCACTTCGACAAGCATCCAGTCGTTTTTATATTCGTCATTCAGTTACTGAGTCATCTAAACAACTCAAGCGTTCATTGTCACCTTGTTCAGTATCTAGTAACAAGGAATCTGTCAAATCTACAAAGAAACTTAATACTTCAGATTCATTTAAAAACGATCTGTCACTATCTGATTCGCTGAACGTAAGATTTTTTTCTTTTTAGACTTCGTCACATTTTTGCAAATTTATTCAATTAATTTATTTCACTACAGGAAGGAAATGTTCCTAAAGTTGCGGAAATTGATTCTGCTGCAGTCAAGAATGTGTGTGAACAAACTACTATGGTTTCAAACGTCAGTTCCGATGTTTCAGAATATGTAAGTGTGTAAATAAAAGTTACATTGGTCCTCTTCTTAACCGTCTTAATCCGGTTACTACTGTTTCATCTTTGTATCGATCATCCGCTTATGATTCTAAAGATATTTTACCGTGTTGCACTGGCTATAGCGTTACCTACAGTCGTCATGTTTTATGAAAGTACCTGAAACTTGAATTTTAAAGTGCATAAGAGTCGGTGTTTTCTGTAAGTAGGCAGCGCTACTGATATTATTCTCAATAGGTTGTTCTTTATCGTTACTTAGCCCTTTTAAACTACTTATCGTAACCAATCTACATAATTTATTTTCGATTTTTGTCGTCCGAGTTTTTGAACTTTCAGTCACCGAATAAAATCATTATCAAATGTTCGATTTTTGAGATCAACATTCTCAGTCTTAGCGGGAAAAAGCAAGTCTTTCAAATTTCCTGAATGTGAACGTCACCTGTATGACCACTATTCGTCAAAATATGTATGACGCACGGCTGTTTGAATTAAGGTTTTGGTAATTTTTGGTTTCGTTTTAAAAAAAGCTGACTTTATCGATGCGAGTAGCTCAGTAATTTAAAAATAACAGTCAATCAAACATCTTAATCTTGAATTGCACATGGCTTCTAAAGAATTCCTCACCTAGTTATTTTTTTTACTTTAAAGATCTGTCTGATCGATTAGTGAAGTCTTACCATTTTGTTCGCTTTCTTTAACGAACTGGTTTTCTGTGCTTTTCTTTTTAAATCTAGTCATTTCCATATAATTTTATTATAGATTATGAATGGATTAAAAACGGAAGAAGCTTTGGTTCCGTGCAACGCTAACGAGGATGCTTCAATAGCTGTTGATGAAAAATGTTCCATTGTCCCTACAGGAAAAGAACCCCAAATAACTTTAAGTATGTTATCTGTCGTCTTTTATTTTAATCATCTGAAATTCGTTCTCACTGCATACTAATAAACTCTAATTTTAGGTTCAAGTGAATGAAACTGAACACGCCGTTTGTGGATCCGTTTGGTGATTGTTAGCTATCCGTGCTACTGTTCATTAAAAATAAACACTTGAAAGCTTGGTTTTTATTTTCAAAACTAATTAAAATATACATTTGTCTTGTCTTACTGGTTTGTTTTAATCCCGGACACATCACTCCTTAGTGTTGTTATCGAGCATAGAAAAAGAGGTACTAGTCACTATTCGAATTAATACAGAAGAATAAACTATAATCACTGACCATGTAAATAAGAAACATCCTGTCTCAGTACAAAAAGCAAATCTTTGCGCCTGCTGATTAACTGATACCAGGTACCGCTAATTGACAACAAAACTATCAGACTTATATAAAATAAACGATACTCGAGTTAATTACATAAAAAGTACCTCATATTGTTATTATTCCGATATTAGATTACACTATTACACGACTAACAATAAATGAACATCAACGTACATGTTATACAGTGTTAATTGTCTAGATGCAAAGAAATCCCTGTGCTGACGTCAGTCCAAAATAAGTTTTGCTACGTTCATTCTGCAACCGTTACTCTGTAGCTCCACAGCATATATTTAGCTGACTCCAATTCGGAATTGTAATTCTCATTAGAAGTCTGACTTTAAAACTTTCCAAATCAAGTTTGGTTCGATTGCTAGCTTGCCATTCCAACTCACTAACAGTTGTGAAATCACTAGTGACAATTAATTCGCTAATAAATTCTTCGAAATAGCAACAAACGATGTGGATCCGAATCATTATGTTGCATGTTTTCTTTCCTATTGCACCATTAATACTTAACCATGTTTAGTCGATTATACTGTATCTATTGAGAATTTCAAACTACTAGATGTGGACACAGTCGAGTCTTATTCCAATGTCAGCACTTCTACATGCGTGATAACTCTTCCGACTACACAGTAAGACAACTTACTTATCATCTGTTGGAGAGACTTCCACTCATCCCACTGAATTCGCATTCAGCTAACATCGAATAGACATACTTTATTTAGCATTCCGGTTAAATCTATGATTTTGCCAATCAAGTCCTTAGGAAACTAGTCAATGTCACACTGACTATGAAATATACAAAATTAGGAGATAACATGTTAGGGGTGCGGAGAGACTAAATGTATTCTGACTGTCAGTCAGTTAGCTGCTATATATGACCGGGCATGTGTATGCCTTGGTCTATATTGTAATACCTCAGTAGCACATGTCGAACATCAGATTCATGTAGTTCTTTCGAAAGTAGTAAAATATAAAAGGCTGGTTGTGCACAAGAATATAGCACAGGAAGAAATAAATTAGTTGTAATATCAAGGTTAAAGAGAAGACAGGCAGTCTGCATGTATCAACATGGCTCAGACTAAAAATTGATGACTCTAATGACTGGTGCCAAGTCTTGGTTTGGCCGCCCCTAACTTTCAACCGTCTCCAACACTAGTCCGCATCGGAAGTCGTGACAAACTAGTCGATGTAAGCCGATAACAGAAGTGTCGAGAACATCACAGTGAGACGCACACCAACGTTGAGCTCGATTAAAATGTTAGACAATGCATATACGTTTTCAAGAGTTCGCAGTTTTGAGGCTGCAATCCATATCAGCGAAATGGATGACGAAACGCCTGACCAACAAACGATAAAAATCACTTTGTTACCCGAGCTGGTATTGAGGAACGAGTGCTGACGCATCCGTATTCTCCCAGCCACTGTTGTAGCAATATCCTCACAGAAGCACATACGCAAAGCTCCCCCTTTTCCAAATCGTTCACACGTGTATTAGCGAACAACATAATGATAAAGTAAGGAGTGCAATCCCAGAACATCACTTAGCTGCACCCAGGTTGGGGCTGAGAGCGTTCATCACAAACTTCCATCGAAATACCACATCTTGTGTCCAGCAGCATATTCAAGCGACCTACAGTGTCTACTGAATGAAAAACTAATTACTAAGGTGAGCAACTGGGATCGGATTAGAGAGAGACAACTTCATTTTGATAGGTGCCGGGCGATAACAAACGCCTAGGACTTCACGTTGTGGCTAGGTAGTTTTTATTTGATCTGCACTCCATTATATGTACTGCTCAAGTAAAGTCTTGCATAGTCATGAACTGCAACAAATGAATCCCATATTGCATACAGCAAACACATTAACTGAGCAGCTGGAGGCTTGTACGCACAAGGATATTATCCTCACCTATCGTTAACTAGCCGAGGACTTCGCTGACAAACTAAGAATACCACGAAGGGTAAATAAGCATGGTTACACGCGGCTGGTATACCAGTTCCTGTTCTTAGCAGCAATTCCGAAAGACGCAAGGTCCTCCTGACCTTATCTATTAAGAGATTTGAGGCCGTAACACCTCCAAACCGTTAGGATTTATCGGTCAACTAGCATGCACTAGAATCGCTCGCCAATTCAGAAGAGGCACAGAGAACGACAGTTGTGGTCTGCGGAATCATGTTCTAAAAGAAAACTGGTGTGCCAGGAACCACACGACTTCAGCGAAAGTAAGGACGACCAGTGATGACACTGGGATAGTCTGTGAGGATTCTGTTCATCGACCCTAGTTGGCTAGAAATCTACGTACCAACGGTGAAGGACAGCGAGTACTGTTCATCATGTACTAATGTGAAGACTGACTACTTCACCAACATGTAGCAAAACGTTACACGATTCATTAACTAGTGACAGAATCACACGTGGCTGACAGCATTGCGAAACAATACAAATGCATGTTTCCAGCACACTTTATTATTCTCTGAATAACTAACCTTGAGGATCAGACTAACCACGGGCCTAACTGACTGCTTTCCAAGCTTAACTACTAAGAACAAAATCATGCAATTTCGATATTTATTCCGTTGAAGCTAATAATCACTCTTCATCACTTCCGTTTTCGTCGTCACCACCTTGGGCTTTACGCTCCTTTTTCCTTTTGACACGACCTGAAGAATTAGGAAAATACTGTAGGTGGGCTTACCAGGGCGACCACAACCATATGGAGATGTTGTACTGTATTCTATGTGTTTTCCTGAGTCCAAACGTACCAGAAACCCAGGACAGTTAACCATTTGTTTCCTTACTCTTATATGCCGTTGGCGGATGAGGACTCTGGCATGATGGATGCTTCTGGCCAAACCAAGTTTAAAGACTTGTGTTTGAAGTCTTCGTTCTAAAAAGTCTTCTATCTTCAAGCCCAAAACGAAATCCAATTTCATCTTATCTTCGGGAAGTACACCAACTCGAACTAAGCGTCTCAGCAGAGCGGACCCTTAAAATGAAGGACAAAGTAAAACTGGTACCTCCAAAAAGCCGTCTGGGGTCTTTATCATCCAGTGTCAGCAACTCGCGGGCTGACTTACGTATCTTGGCTAAGACATATTTTACTCTCCATACTTCGCGTTTGTTGCGCAGACCATATTCACCAATGAGCTTTAACTCTTGGTCCAAGCGCTCCTTTTCAAACGGTCTCCGCGGAGTAGCATAGGTCTTGCCAAAAACTTTAGGTACCCTGCTCATTTCTCACAACACCAACGTGAAGGGATCTAAATCGAGAGCCCCTAAGTTCCTTGTAGACTAAGTGAAACAAATTTCAATATACAATGTCTGGAGCAACATCATAGGGGCTGAATATGATTAACAATGAACAGTCTTATTCGGCCATAAATGTACTGAGTCATCCTTATCTTCTATCTCACTAAGTGTTTAATTACGATCAGAAAGCCACTTAACACTTGGAGGATTAAGTCCTGATCAGTTTCAGTCTGGAAAGGACAGGAGGCTGGGTGGCCTATGTCAGTCCAAGCAATGGTGGCCTCTTGATTGATCCATCTTCCTTCGAGTGTATGGACAGATGAAGCTCCACTCACGTGTCAAGGTAATGAGTTCCACTCGTTGGTGATTCGATAGGAAAGTCGATAGTTAGCTGACGAGTGATTTGTTCCGGACTTGTGAATTTTTTTAGAGAGTCCTCGTAAATGCTCTGTTTTGGAAGACAAAAAATTATGACATACCATGTGTGAATTTAACAGAAAGCAACTTAAAATCTATGATGAAGTCATCTCTTGTTCTTCTGCATGATAATGGTTACAAGTTTCATTTAGACTGGCTCTCTTCATACGAGAGATTAATGATCTCGGAAATCAACACACTTGCAATTGTTTAAACCTTTTCCAACAGATCACTGTTGTTTTTGGGTGAGGGCTAGCTGTTCGTACACAATACTCGAGTTTAGTACGAATGAACTCTGTATAAAAAGTAAATAAGATTTCATCATCGGTATGGCTGAATACGTACTGACCATATAGTTCTAAAACCTTTAGCGGCTATCGCACTACAGTGTGAAGTAGTTTTCAAATCCTGGCTGACGATAACTCTTATGTTATTATGTGTCTGGACAACAGGTAGCTCAATGTTATTCACCGTGTATGTATCTGTACATCGGTAATCAATATGCACCATAATGCACTTGGAAGCATTTACCTGCAGCTGCCGAGTTCTAGACGATTTGAAAATTTCCCGACGTCCCTTTTAAACTCTAAGCTATCACTTTTACGTTTTATCGCTCTCCATATCTTGACGTCGTCAGTGTATAGCAAGATCGATTATGACAGGATGCGAAGAAGATCGTTTGCACACGGGGAGAACAACAATAGCCCCAAAACTGTATCCTGAGGCACTCCGATAAGCACAGTTTCTCAGCTAGACAACTTGCGGTCAACAAGTGCTTTATTTTGACGCCCAACTCGGATTTCCTTTATTCACATAAATAGTTTACCACCAATCCAGATATCACTTAATTTAGATAACAAGCGGTTGTGTGGGACTTTGTCAAAAGCCTTTCTGAAGTCGATGTAGGCTGAATTTGTAGGTAACATTTAAAGTTCAAAGGGGCCCCAAGATTTATGGGCCACCAACAAGTTCGTAGGAAATGAGTAACCTGTTTTAAAACCGTACTGCTGTGCAGAAACAATCCGGTGTCGGTCTAGATAT